CTAACTATTTATGGGAGTCCAAAGCCTCATCTTTCTCCTGAGGCAGCTGACAGTTTTCAAGTGCCTAACTTGTGGTTAGCAGCCCAATGCATAATCCATGTAGTAGGTTCAAACCCTCTACGCACTCCTTGGGAGAAACGTGAGGCTTTCTACTTCCACAGAGTTACCGTCCCAGAAACCAATAGGGCAAGTTCTACTCTGTCCTATTGGGTCACTATGTGTACAAACAGATTCAACGGCAGTTTTCCTCCCCTGGTGGCTTAGTGGGCTACAAACTGGACTAGTAACCAGCAATTTAAAACCACAACCAGCCCAAGGTAGAAGGATGCGACCTATCACTCTCATAAAGATTTAGTGACTCGGAAACCCACAGGGCAGTTCCACTCGTTCCCACTGGGTGCCAATGAGCTGGAATCAACTTGGTGACAGTGGGCGTCTCCCGTTAGTGATGCAAAAAGACCACCGTGTTAGTCTGAGTTGATTAGAGAAACAAATTCGGAGACATCCATTTGTGTATAAGAAAGAGCTTTATATAAAAGCTCTTTTATTTGTATTTTATTGTATATTAAGAAATCGTGTATTAACTGTATATTAAGAAAACATCCCAGCCCAGTCCAGATCCAGTCCAAAAGTCTGATATTAGCCCCTAGGTCCGATAACAATCTATAAATTCCTCTTCGGACTCACACAATACACGCAATGACACTGAATACAGAAGAACATAGACCAGTGGTAGAAAGGCTTCTGGATCCAGTGGGGGTGGAAGCATCTCAGTGCTGGTGTGGGTCTCAATGTGGCTCTTCAAGCTCCAGGGCTCTGGCTCCATCAGCATAGCTCCATCTGGCTTGTCAACAGGAAGGTCTCGCAACAAGTATGTGTCCCACCTCCAGGGTGGAAGACAGGATTTCCCAGAATCCTTAGGAGAAAGCCATGACCACACAGAGGCCTCATTAGCTGACCTGATTGACAGGCTAGAGTCCACCCCTTCGCAAGTTGACAGATTATGTAACGTCTGTCACAACCACTTGGATGTGGTCAACCCCCCAGAACCCTCAATTCCTTAGGGATAGACTAAATGCCTGGTATCAGTGTTTACAATTTTCGTGAACTTGATGGAGTGTATGTTGAGAAATGAAGTTCATAATTCTCACTTTTATCTTTCATTACATTTGTGCCATGGTTTTCATGTCCTATTGTATTTACTAGTGAGAGAGAGAGAGATGTATACTTTTTTTTAAACAGTTGCCATCAAGTTGACCCATGGCCACCCCACCCCCACCATGTATCAGAGCCGGATTGTGCGCCAGTGTTTTTTATGGTTTTTTGGAACTAGATTATCAGGATTTTCTTCCCAGGAAACCTCTGGGTAAACTTGAACCACTGACTTGTGATTTAGCAGCAAGTCCAGTAGCAGTTTCTGCCCCCCAGATAGTCTATGTATTTTGTAGAGTAAGTCACCCAGTAGTGCTACGAGGCTTTCCGTTAACACATATGTAGACTTAAACACGTCTCTGTGATCCCGGTGGCTGCAGACAAAAAGTTGTTTCACGAATATACTTGTCTCGCTAGAACAGAGCCCTGCTGGCATAGTGGGCTATGTGTTGTGCTAATAACCACAAGGTCACCAGTTCAAAACCACCAGCTGCTCAGCAAGAGAAAGATGAGACTTCCTATTTTCATGAGGATTTACAGTCTCCGAAACCCATCGGGCCAGTTCTACTGTGCTAGAGGGTCACTGTGAGTTGGCATCCACTCAATGATGCCAAGTTTGAATCTGGAGTTTTCTTAAGCTTGATAGATTCCTTGGAAGGGTCCGTAACCACCTCTGAGGACGTTCGAAGAGAACTGAAAACTGCACTGGTGCGAAAGAGGCCTGAGGATTCTTCCAGGAGAGCCAGGGCTGTCCAATGATTATGTCATGGGAACCTCACCCTCGCCACGTTACAGCCCTGACCTTGACCCTTGAGACTTCTTTCCTTCCTCAAACTGAAAGGCTATTTCAAAAGAACACGGTTTGAGGGAAAAATCAAAGAGTTCTACTAAGGATTGGATGAAAACACTGCCTTCAGAAGTGTGTAGATCTCAATGGAAGACATGTCAAGAGATAATAAGTTTATGTTTGATATTTTATTTAATAAACATGTCTATAATTTTGTTATAATATTTCTGCCTTACTCTCCTATATGTATAAATACACACACACACACACTAATTGTTCCTTTGAATGAGATAAGGCTTTCATATAAAGATGTGAGGCATATTTTCCATTTCGGGAAAACACCATCAATGTTCTCCGTTCTACAGAGAAGAGACATGATCTTGTGACTGAGACCTTTTCAGTGAAAGGTCAAGGATAGGTTGCACGTCTTAAGGATAAAATCCTGAGGAATAATGAACATTAATATGGTTCACAGCAGAAGATATAAGCTCTGAACTCTCTAAGACAATTCTAGGGCCCCACATGCTTCCTCCAAGCACCGGAACAGACAGCAGTATGTAAAGATTATTCTCAGAATGGTCCCCACAAGAATGCTGGAATACCGGTTGTAAAACGATCAGGAAGTTGGCTCTTGCGGTACATTGTTTAGCGGCCAAAAACAATGCCAACTTTCAGAGGGGGCCGTCCAAACAGAGTCCTTTTATGGTAAGATAGCATCTGTCCAAGAAACGTTCCTTGCCTCTGCATGCAGTGCCCCAAAGTAAACGGTGAGCAACCTGGGAAAGATAGGGCCTGCCAATGACTCAACCAGATCTTGGTGTGACCAAGTGCTGTACAGAGTGTGTGCTTTCCAGCAGACTCCGTCCCTGGCCTCTCTGAAACAGCAGCCCACGCTCCCCTGCGGTTGCTAAGAGCTGTGTGACCCCAGGTGTATCTGTTTCCCCGAAGTACATTTTCTTCATGAGCCTCAACAAGAACAACCTCCCCAACAACTTGAAAGAGAGTTTAAACTGTGTGAGGCTGTCCCGCGTTCCTTATGTCCAAAGTGTCGGTTCTTCTAAAGGGGTAAGTCTTGCTGAATCATTGTTCGTGCTCCTGGATTAAGGCTCGGAAAACAGGAAGAGATACAGAGGCACATACACTACACTAACATAACCTTTTGTTGCAAACACCAAGGAGCAAAGGATAAAAGTTCAGATTGTCTACAAACTCCATCAACAGCAATAAATTACCATTTTCAAATAAATAAAGCAATGACCATTTCCTGCAAATGCAACCTTTCTATCCTGCAAGAAAACGTGGACACCACTTACCTATTTTAAGTACATTCCATAGCGAAGCTTTTCTCATGTGTCAATTATGCTCGGTTGTCAAATAATTTCATGCCACTTGGATTAAAAGTCAGCACCCATGGAAGCATCACTTGAGAAATCAAATGACCCTTTACATCTTGAGCAAATCTACCGCAAGACTGCAGTTTAAAACCAGAGATGTCAGTTTGATGACCAAGGTTCACCTAACCCAAGCCATAGCCTTTGAATTGCTACACAGGCATGCGAAAGGTGGACAGTAAAAAAGTAAGACAGAAAAGGTGATGCCTTTTAATTGTGTTGTTGACAAGGAATACAGAATGTCCTATACATTGCCAGAATAAAGCAATCAGACCTAGCATGAGATGCCAAAAAAAAAAGAGTACTCTCTACATATCTCAAATGAAGGGGTTCTTTGAGTGGCAAGACAGAAGAACTGTGTGAGACAAATACTGACTGATGCAGCGAGCGTCGAAAGAAGTTTGGAGCAAGACACAGTCATTCTATCAATATGAGCTTGCCTGCAACCATTTCAAGAGGTGGCATATGATCAAGAACTGGCAGTACTGAAGAAAGAAGTTCCGAATGTACTGAAGCCATTAAGAAAAACCCAGGCTCCAAGACTTGACAGAAGAATGGGCAGGACTGAGAAGTGAAGTGCTTCAACAAGCCAATGAAGCACTAGAAGCACTTATTCATCTCTGCCAAGAAATCTGAAAGATAGCTCCTTGGTCAAACGACTAGAAGAGATCACGTTCACCATTTCAAAGAAAGGTGACCCAACAGAGTGCAGAAACTATTGATTAACATTAATATCACATGCAAGTGAAATTCTGCCGAAGATGATTTAAAAACTGTGCAACAGTACATCAATAGGAAGCGGTCGGAAATTCAAGTCAGGTTCAGTGGAGGCTATGGAATGAGGGCTGTCATTGCTGATGTCAGAAGGCTCTTGGCTGAAAGCAATGAACACCAGGAGGAGGCCTACTTGTGTCTTACTGACTGTACAAAGGCATTTGACTGTATGGGTCATAGCAAATGATGGATAACACTGAGAATAATGGGAATCCCAGAACACTTCATGGTGCTCACGTAGAACTTTTGCACTGATCCGTCCTGCAAACAGAAACAAGGACTATTTCATGGCTTAAAATCAGGAAGGGTGTGCATCAGGGTTACATCCTCTCGTCATACTTATTCAACCTGTATGCGAGCAAATCATGTGAGAAACAAGACTGTAGGAGAACACAGCAACAGGATTGGAGGAAGGCTTACGAATAACCTGCAATATGCAGATGACACAACCTTGCTTGCTGAAGGGGGAGGACTTCAAGGACGTGCTAACGAAGATCAAGACTACGAATTACAACTCGATGTAAAGAAGACCAAAATCCTTGCAACTGGACCAACAGACCACACCCTGATAAAAGCTGGAAAAAAAGAGGCAGTTGTGAAAGATGCCACTCTGCTTGGATCAATGTGGGCAATACTGCATCTTGGGGGTGCCAGAACAATGGGAGCGGGGGTGGGGGCGCCGCGAAGGCAGATACCTATACTTACAAACGTTTTTAATTGACAAGGGGTGCTGAGTAATTTCTTTTCTGAAAATGGGGCAGGAAGCCAAATACATTTGGTAATTTACAATGCCAGAAGAAATATGTCATCCATACCCAAAACGTTCTCAGTGCGTGTAACAGTACAAATTTCTATCTATGTATTTATTTTGATGGCAGCATTCACAGTGAACTTACCTTAAATTTAAGTAGGTCAGCATTTGCAAGTTCACGATGGCCTCGGGAATGACTCTGATACAGTTGTGGTACAGGTTAAGCACTTCCAGTGATACAAACTGGCACAATTCCATTGGAACTTCAACCAGCCTGTTTTTAGATAAATCTATGAGAAAAGGAAAGATACTGTTGTCAATAAATCTCCAATTGACTCAATCTTATAAATTCTATTTCTTAACCCATTAATCAAATTTAGAGCTAAAGGGGCAAAGGAAAGTGTAAATACTGTTAAAATGATTTTAGTTCACACCATCAGTTTGTAAATCCTGCTTAGGATTCAATGGAGGAATTGAATTATTTTTCACTCTTCCAGAAAATTATTTCAAATTCATTCTCCCTAAGTAAGTATCCATTAATATCCCTGAGTATATATGTTTGCTATAATGATTTAATTCAATTTTGGATTCATAACACAAGAGGATCCTGATCTGGGATATAATCTCTTTTGTAGACAGGGCGCATGGTTTTTCATAGCCTGCACAAATGAACACAGAGCAGACACAAAACACATATTTTATTCTCTAAAATTACCGAGTATCAAACATGTGCAAGACCTAGTTAAACTGTGTCTATATTGGATGACACTGCATATAAACAGACGAGGGGGGAAAAAAGGCTTTTATTGGCCCCTTGTAAAGATGATTAACTATGTTCTACAGAGCAGCGTAACATGTAATAGCATGGACAGTATCACCGGTCCAAACATTAGCATGTGGAATAATCAAATCTAGGTAGAAGACTCCATATATTAGAGATACCACGAATGAAACAATAACTGAAGCATTCACAGATCACCACCCTGTCAGGAAGGGCAGAGTAAAACCTGACAATGTTCAGTAAATAACGGATAAAGGCCTAGGGATATGCACAGCACAATAAATTTTAAGTGTCAATCCCATGAGGAAATTCAAGTGGAAGAGCAACTTTCCGTGGCTGGCCTTCTACTACCTAGAGGGTTACAGCGGAAAACTGTCCCGTGCTGCGCTCTAAGCTGTGATGTTTACAGAGAGGACTGCCAGCCTTTCCTTCCGAGGCACCTCGGGCTGGGCTCGAACCAATGTTTCAATTAGTCGTGGAGGATTAAGCATTTGCTCCACCTCAGGCCCTTCCGGACCCCTGGTCACCCAGAAGTCACACCCTGGGCTGCTAACTGCAACGTCCGCAGCTGGCAACGACAGCTGCTCCGCGGGAGAAAGATGAGACTTTCTGCTCCCATCGAGACTTGTCTTTATGGTTGTTGGGTGCCGCCAAGTCAGGTTCAACCCACAAAAGAATTGGCGCATCTGAAATTGCGGTGCTGGTGTAAAATCTTGGAAGTATCGGGGTCTGCTGAAAGGACAAGCAAATCCGCCCTGGAGGAAGCACGGCCAACACTCCTCGGTGGCAAGTGAGGCAAGACCTTGCCTTACTACCTACTTTGGGCATTGTATTCGTCTGGGTACTTTAGAGAAACCAATCCACAGAAACTCATGTATAAAAGAGTTTTATATAAAGGTTAAGTGCACATCAAGAAAACATCCCAACCCAGTGCTACCCAAGCCCACAAGTCCAACATTACCACATTAGCCCATATGTCCGACACCAATCCACAAAGTCCTCCTCCATCTCTCAAAACACACGCAATGATGCTGACTGCAGGAGGAAAGCCGAGTCAGTGAATGTGTAAGCATCTCAGCACTGGCAGGGGTCTCCACACGGCTGCTCCAGCACCCAGGGCTGCATCAGGGTAGGTCCATGTGGCTTCTCCTTGGGGATGTCTTGCAGGAAGTCAGCCTTGCAAGCTGAAGCAGGGAATTGCTAAGACAGCTGCACCCTGGTCCAACCATCAGAAAGCAAGAGACCCGAAAACTCAAAAGGCGAGGCTCACTGAGCCATTTATCCCTCTGCCCTTCAATTAATTCCACATGAGTTTATTTTGGTCAGGTTGGCACAATAAACGAACTCCCTCAGGCCTGTTGTCAGGAGAGACTAGTCCCTGGAAAGGGACAGTGGGCTTGGTAAAGGGGAGGGACGGCGAAAAGGAGGAAGGCCCCGATGAGGGGGATTGATGCTGGTTCAACAATGGGCTCAGGCACAGGAACCATTGTGAGGATGGTGCAGGAGTTTGCAGTCTCTCGCTGTACCGTGCACAGGGTCGCTACGTGTTCATAAAGATTTAAGTCCCCCAAACCCACGGGGTGATTGGGCCCGGCCCTAGAGGGTCACTGTGAGTGGGAATTGACCGGATGGCAGCAGGGACCTTGAGCAACGACAAGGCCCAGGTGACACCCGAGGTGCAATCGAACGAAGTGTAAGGGGTACTTGTAGTAACTTTTTACCTACCCTACTCCATATAAGAAGTCCAAGTCCGAAAATTCTTATTTGAAAAGTGAAGTACAAGATTGATAGGATCACCCAATAAAAGTACAGGAATAAGGAATCTTACTTATAAACACTGATGCAAAACACTAAGTAACTGAGCAGCCCATGGAAGGATGAACATACTCTGAGTAACTGAACATTATTTTAGGGGTTGATGCTGTTTGCTGCATGCAGCTGATGGCAACTGTGTGTAAGAGAAATGTTGCCTGACATAAAAGTTAGATAAGAATTTTAAAATAATTCACTGTATGTATAAAATCAAAAGTGAAATACCATATGAATACTAAATTTTTAGTGAAATACTACATTAATTTTTTGCCTTAAAATGATTTTAAATTTTTTATTGAGATCTTGTCTATATACCATACTACTAATTCATTTCTAGGGCACCACTCAGTGATCTCTACTACCTTTACCAAGTGGTACAGACATCGCCAAAAGTCGATTTTAAAACCCTTTCCTTCTTAATACAAGTGCTTAATAAAAGGAGAATACCTTGTTATTAATCAATACCAAGGGAAGATGTAGTTAATTTAATTCCCGAGTATTCCAACCAGGGGATCCCTGTGTACAGTCACCGTTTGTGGGTTTTAAACAGGTATTTGCATGGAATATGTCATTTGTCTTGAAACTTCTATCACAAGATTGCCGGCATCTGTCACCGATCCTGTGGTTTCCAACCATTGATTCTTCTTTGTTTTCAGCTTTCATATTCCAACCACTGGTAGTTATCAATGCATCTTAACCGCATTGAAAATAATAGTCCACACACATGCAAATACAAACACACAAAAGAATAAATACGACCTATGCTAAGATGATACCAGAAGTAATGCAACAATGGCTAAAGCAACGCGAGTCAGACCAAATGATGTGTATGTTTTAAGTGCTTCGAATTAAGTGGATAACCCTCTTGACACATTTCATCTCCAGGAATGCTACGTGAATTAACTGTTCAATGGCAAAAACGTAGCCATACTAGTACTACAAGAACACATAGGAACTTTATGTAGCAGAGCTTAGTAGGTCTTTCCTGAAATGGCAGAAAATGGAAACTGGTGAATTTGATTCGTAAAAGTCAAGAATCTCCACCATCCGCACCAAATGACACCAAGGATGGGTGCGATACGCATGAATTTATAAACCTAATAGGCTAGTTTATCTTTTCTTTCTTTAAAACAGTTTTAGCTGTACTTTACATGTCCTACAATTCAATAATTTAATCATAACAAGAAAACTTGTACAATTATCACCACAATCAATTCTAGAATATTTTCTTCTTCATTGTATTCCTTGCTAAAAGTCTAATTCTTTTTCTTTCATTGTGGCAAAAATAGACACAAAACATCCTCCGATTCCACAACTCCATATATATAATTCAGTGCCATTGATTAAACTCTTTGTGTTGTACAACTCTTACTGATATCTTCCTCCAAATTATTCCACCATCCTGAACATAAACTCAATGCTCCCTAAACATAAACTCTTCCTCCTTCACCCATGGTAACCATTGGTCAAGTTTGGTCTCTTTTTGTTTTTTTACACATTTTATTTTATTATTTTTTAAAATAATTTTATTGGAGACTCTTACAGCTCTTAATTGTATGAAGCACATTTGTACCTCTGTTGTCCTCATCAATTGGCCTCTCTTTTCTTTGGGGCTAGTTTCTTGTACATGAGAAGGGCATCTACAGTCAATTCAAATGTGTGAAACTCTCTGTGGAAAAGAGGGTGAATAGACAGCTCACAGGAAGACCACATGCGTGGCTTTTAAGCTTGCGAAAGGTTGGCCATGGTCACTCAGGTGAGAGCAGGGCAGATTAGGGCCACGTGTGAGCACTTTCATCTATTCGTCTGAAGAATATCAAAAGACTGACAACACATTGCAGTGATGTAAAAGGGCATCCTGATTATATCTATGAAAATGAAGAACATATACTGTGACCTTGTAACCTTTAGGGGGTCACCAGATACAGACACCAATAATGAACATTTTTAGCACTGATTCAAGCAGCAAGATAGTAAACAATCTAAATATCCATTAGTGGAGGGCTGTTTAAATATTAATCTACTATCAATAAAAGTTATAAATAATACTAATAAAGTCGCTAAAGAAATATCACTATATTATTAATTTGACTCATACGATGGAATGTAATATTAATCATTATTTTCCACAATAGAATGTTAGGAAAGCTCCGTCAGCACAGATAGAGAGAGCTGCCTCATTAACGACTTGCTAAATACATGGTAGAATAATGTCCTAATAAGCGTATGAGTCTGACGTTTTAAATTGCGATGTATAATACAGATTACATTTGCCTCTCCCACCCCCGTCTTCCTTATAGTATCCACCACAATCTTCAGATCTGGGAAGATAAGTGTTTTTTTTCTCCCATAATTTCCCCTCTGGCTGTTTGACTTTGTTAACTTAGAAGTAGGAACTGTGCTCTGAAGATTGATCAGCGCTTCCGGGAAGATGGGATTCACCATGACGCCTGGCCAAATATTCATCGTCCCTCATTTTAAATGGCATCTGATCTCTCCTTTTGACTTCTTCTTTAAATTGTACTACTCTGTATGTGCTTTTTTTCAGGAATCCTCTTTGGAAAGGTACCAGATTATAATAATAAATATGAATAAGTGGGAGGAGTGGTTACCTGCCAGACCCACACCGATCCAGCCAAATGATCAGACCCCTGTGTCCACTGTATTGATCATTTATCGATTGTCATCCGTCTGTGT